TGGGTGAAGGGAGACAACAGACGGTGTAAGACACAAAATAACAACAATAATATACAATTATTGATCAAAGATTCATGAGGGTGGGGGAAGGGGGAAGAAGTGGAATTGATACCAAGGGCTCAAGTAGAAAGAAAAGGTTTTGGAAATGTTGATAGCAACCTATGTACAAGTGTGCTTAATACAATTAAATGATGGAGCGTCATAAGATTTGTAAGAGGCCCCAATAAAATAATGAATAAAATTAAAAAAAGAACTCCAGGCTTGGTGAACCTAAAGGCTGGCAGTTCAGACCTGCCCAGCAGCTCGCAGTAACACACACCGTGAGACTGGCTTCCACAAGAATTATGGCCCAGAAGGCTCGAGGCACAGTGGACTCTGTCCCAAAAATGGGAGCTGCAATCGGCCGGATGGCACCCAACACCGAGAGACTAGGCAAATGCATACAGAGCAGCTTATCCCGGCTACAAGGCGATGGGAGAGGGCAAGCAGGGGGTCTGGTTACCCTGAAGTGCATTCTTGTCAGGGTCTTGCCGCCTCCTATTCATTCAAAGCAGACTGCGCTAAGTTAGGGATGCATATTGCAGTATCTAAAGCAACTACTTACAGGAAAAAGCACAGCCCACAGGCCAACTTTCTAGTTCCAAAGCCGGACTCCTGGTGATACCATAAGCACCACAGGGTTGGCAGTGGCTGATTTTCCAGGAGTGGCCAGCTAGCCTTCTCCTGAAGTGCCTCTGTATGGACTCAAACCCCCAATGTTTCAAGGAGCTGTAGGCATTGACCACTTGCAGTTCCCAGTACTGACTCCAGGACGCCAGTAACCCCCAAACGCCATGCCATCAAGCCAACCCTGACTCCGTGACGCTGTGTAGAGTTTCTAAGGCTGTAAATCTTTACAAGAGCAGACGGCCTCGTCTTTCTCCCTTGGAGTGGCCGGTGCATTTGAACTGCTGACCTTGGGGGTTAGCAGTTCCAAAGCTTACCCAACACCACCATCAAAAAAGGAAAAACAAACTCACTACCGCGAATCAATTCTGATTCCAAGGCTCCTTACAGAGGACATCTAAGGCATAATGGTTGTTGGTATAGAACTTTTGTCCTTATGGTAACTGTTACTTCCACTAGACTGTGAGCTCTCTGAGAGCAGTGATTAAGACGGGCTCACCACTGTGTACACACGTGCTCAGTAAATTGAAGCTGAATGAATGAGCAGAGAGTGATGAAGTGTCAAGCTAATGGGTCAGGATGCTCACCATTCTTCTCGGCAAGGAACTTAAAGGAAGCAAATGGCAGGACACAGGAGAGGGCCAGGGAGGATCATTAGGGCAGCACTGCAAGGGCAGTCTGGGAACTGAATCGTGTGAGGAAGGTTAGAAAACCCTGTCTTCCTCCCTCAGAGTGGCTGGTGGTTTCAAACCATTGACCTTCTGGATCGCAGCCCAATGTATAACCACTAGACCTACAGTTGTATGGCTCCACCAACAACCAGAATGAGCACCAAAGCCGATTTTCCCCAAAGCCTTAGATAAGGACTCAGTCTGACCTCCCCAGACCACTGCTAAGCCTGCCCCAACTCCTGACCCACAAGAACTTGGAGCTAATAAACCAATGTGGTCTTAAGCCACTATATCAATTTGTTATATGGCAAGAGAGCCCCAAAACACAAGCCATATACGAGACCAATTTTCTACCCTAAATGACCATGCTACTATAGTGATTAACATGCAAAATTCACTGAAGACTATTCCAAAACCCAGATAAGCTTGGACTCATGGTGCATTTTCCTCAAAAAAGGTCCAAAAAGTCTATCAAAATTGTCTGGTGCAGTGACTGTCACTGCTTAATAAGTCTGTGTGCCCCTGCCCCCCACCTGAACGGCTTTATTATTTACTGATCACACGCAGAAAGCCCTCAACACGTACACGTGACAGTGTGCACTGAGCCTTGGAGGGCAGGCCACGTGTCTAGAGGATCCATGACTTGCTTTTCTTTATCTTCCTGAAACAGCCCTACACACACACACACACACACACACACACACACACACGGCACTTCCAAAAAAGAAAAAAGAATCTTGTCACATGGAAATGATTACATGTTATCGTGGGTGGATGAACCTTGGCGATCCTCAAATGAGGGCAAGAGTTTTGAAGTCCCTAAAAGGAATACGGTGAAGGGATAGAAGACTTTCTGAATTACCTGGGCCACCAAGACAGAAGGGGCCTTACCTTGACATCTGGCACCTGGGCACCAAGGCTGCTGAGTCCCACAATGGAATAGAAAGCAGATTCCAAATTTGTGAATGGGCGGTCCAGCGAGGCCTTCAGTCTCTCCACGTCATGCTTGGTGAGGTAGTGAGTAGGCGTCAAGGCTTGGGTGCTGGCTATGATTGTCAGGGCCAACAGGAAGACAGTGCTTGAACCTTGGGGGGAAATAACTATTAATAACTACATGCCACAGTTCAACACGCAGTCCTAATCCATCGGTGCTGGACACCGTGCTGAGGACCGAGTGATACAAGGAGCGGTGAGGGCCCAGGGAAGGTTTACTCTGTAGCCAACTCGTGGGGAAAGGTGGAAACCAGCTTAGATGATCTGGAAGGCAGCCCTCCCCACAGTCTCCGTGCTTCAAAAGCACACCCATCATGCCTTTCACCTGTTAAATGTACATGCATGACTCCTCTGGCTCTGAGAACACACGGGATCCTTAGCCCGGGCTTGGCTGCCTCTCATCCAAACTCCTTCCTCATTCCCTTCACCTTCGGCTGCTCTCTGGCCTCCTCTGTTCTGTTAAGTAGCCACGTTCTATTTCTTAGCCTAGATATATTTTTTAATGCCACTCACTGCTTTATTTTACAAACATTTCTTGTCCTTTTTTTTTTTAAACCGTTTTCTTGGGACACCATCCACATATTATACAATTCAGTAATTCAATCGTATTAGGCAGGGTTGTACAATCATTACCACAGTCAATTTCGGAACATTTTCTTCTTTCTTGTACTCCTTGTCATTAGCTCAATTTCCCTCCAAGAAACCATTACCGTATATACTTGTGTATAAGCCGGGTTTTTCAGAACATTTTAAAAGCAGCTTTGTGTAAAATTAGGTGCCTCGGCTGATATTTGGGTCGGCTTATACGCGAGTAAATGCGGTAATCCAGTCACTGCCTCTATAGGTTCACCCATGCTGGATTTCAGAGGCCGAAAAACATACAGAAACCAAAAAAGCTAACAAAAAAATAAAGAGAAACACCTCAATTGAAAAGTAAGCAGCAGCTCTTGCTGAGCGATTCTGACAGATGGCGCCACCCTGTGCCCGCCCAGAACTGTGCCCCTGAGCATCTCCAACGGTTGACTGTTTCAGGAGCGTCACCATGTCCTTCTTCCACAGCACTTCTGCGTGAACTCAACCCTCCAACCAGATTTTGCTTAATTTCTACTCCTTCAAGTTTCAGCTCAAGCACCTCTTCTGTACGAAGCCCCGTTGGATTCGTTCCCAATATAACAGAGTTCTTGAGGAACACAGCTCTGGAGCCCGCTGCAGAGCCTCCTCTGTCAAGTCTACCAATGTGGCGTGGCCAAGTTCGTCTGCCCGCCCTCACCTAAGTTTCTTCAACAGCAAAGTGGGATAATACCATTACGACCACAGACCTGTTAGGAAGATTATCTAAGTGACTCAAGAAGGTGCGCAGTGACTGGCACACGGCAAGCTCCATCAAGTACAAGCTGCTAGTTCTCCCACGCTGTCATCGAGTCCATTCCGACCCAGAGCGACCCTACAGGACAGAGTAGAACTGCCCCCTTTGGGTTTCCGAGACTTTAAATCTTTAGGGGAGCAGACAGCCTCACCTTTGGGTCAGCTGGTGGGTGGGTTCAAACCACTGACCTGTGGTTAGCAGCTCAGTGCATAGCTCGCTACGCCACCAGGGCTCTAAGCCACTAGTCCTAGGACCACGGCTATGGCTGTTTCTACATGCAAGCCCAGCGCCCTGTCCTTTTCTCTGCAGCATTTTTCACACGAGCGTGGATGTGCACTTCCCTCTCCTCTGCTGCACTGTAGGCTCCATGAGGACAAACCCAGCTCACTGCCACCGAGTCAATGCCTATAGGACAAGGCAGCACTGCCCCTGTGGGTTTCCGAGACCATAGCTCTTTACGGGAATAGAAAGCCCTCTTTCTCCCAAGGAGCTGGCTGGTGGTTTGAACCGCTGACCTTGGGGATCGCTGCACAAGGCATAGCCACTACAGCACCAGGGGTCTTCCTCCATGAAGATTAACAACAACACGAGAACTCACTGTCATCGGGTCAATGCCAACCCAAAGTGACTCTACAGGACAGGGCAGCACTGCCCCGTGGGTTTCCGAGGCTGTAAATCTTAACGAGAGAAGAACGTTTCACCTTTCTCCTGAGGTGCGTCTGGTGGTTTTGAACTGTGGGCCTTGCAGTTAGCAGCCACATAACCACAACACTACCAATAGACCCTTTTCAAAAAGGCACTACTATCTCTGTTTTACAAATAACGATGTTGAGGGCCAGCCAAAGTCGGACTGGAGCCCAAGTCTAACTGTGGAGAGTCCACTCTCTATTCTTTTTAAGAGAATGTTACAGAGTGGAATTCCCACGTTAGGGGCTAACACAGAGAATCATCTTCTCTGAAGATGGTTTCCATCTAAGACCTTGTGTACGTTAAATCTAAAGTGAGAACTCTAAAAAACGAAGAGGAAGGAATCTATAATGTGTTCATTCATCATATACTTTTTGAAAGCCACCATGTGCCAGACATGATTTTAGGTGTTAAAAAGATAACAGCAGGAAATACAACAGACAAAAAGCCCAGCTTTCATGAATCTTACTCTCTCGTGGGGAAAGACGGGCCATAAAATAATGAAGAAACCATACTGAATCGGTTAAAAGAGAAAAGTAGTACGGAGAAAAATGAAGCACAGAAAGATAAGCTGGGAGGGCTGCGATTGGAAATATGGTCTATGAAGACCCTCACTTAAAGACCACCTCCTGAGGACAGCTGGAAGGGAAGTATCCCGAGGAAGAGGAGAAACCCAGTCGGGAGGTGTACAGTGCTTCCTGGTCATAAGGAACAGTCTCGCTAGAGCAGTGTGAGCAAGGAGTGAGGAGTAGGAGACAAGACACAGAAGGAGAAGAGGTCAAGTCCAAGGGCCTATTAGGCTACTGTAGGAATTTCAGCTTTAGCCAAGCAAAACAGCAGGCACTCACTGGAGGGTTTTGAGCAGGAGTGATTGTGACTTACATTTACCAGTGCTGTGTTGAGTACACGGAGCCCTGGTAGCATATTGGTTACTTGTTGGGCCGTTAACCTCAAGGTCAGCAGCTCAAACCACCAGGTGTTTCATAGAAAAAGTGAGGCTTTCTACTTCTGTAAAGAGTTACAGTCTCGGAAAGCCAAGGGGGCAGTTTTACCTGGTCCTAGTGGTTACACATTGGGCTGCTAACCCCTAGGCCAGCAGGTCAAATGCACCAGGCACTCCTACAGGATTAAGATGAGGCTCTCTACTCCCCTAAAGAGTCAGTCTCAGAAACTCAGAGGCAGTTCTATCCTGTCCTACAGGGTCACTAAAAGTCAGAGACAACTGGATGGTGATGAGGGTTGAATTTTTAATTGGGTGACTATCCGTCAAAACAGGTGTCATGACATGGAGTTTTTGGAGAGAGTGTTGAGAACAGACTCTATAGGAGCAAAGACAGAAAGCAGGTACCAGTTGAGACTACTGGCACAACCCAAGTAAACACACGATGGTGGTCCCAACCAGCATTTAAGTAGTGGAGGTGGGGAGAAGTGGTTAGATTTCAAAGTCGATACCAATCAGCTTTGCTAGTGGATAGAATGATGTAAGAAATGAGTCAACTTACTAATGCTGTATGTATACCGGTGTGTATTATATAGACATGTATCCAATATATTAAGATCTAATGACAAGTACTTTCTCAGCTAGACAGTAAACGCACCTAGCACAGTATGCATGACAGAAACCTAATCTTTCTTCCTCGCCTTAACAGTAACTTTTTTTTTTTTTTGGGGGGGGAGTTACCTTGAGCATCTAGCACCTATAAGCTACGTCCCATACTATGCCAAACATTCTGTATACACAATCACTAAAATATCACAACATACAAATGAGGTGGATATTGTCTACATTTTACAGACTGAACAAATTGAGGCTCTGAAGTAGTTACTTGCTCTAAGGTACAGATCTACTAGAGAATGAAATTGCTGGCAGTTTGGATTCAAAGTGTGTTGGGCTACTAACCACGAGGTCAGCAGTTTGAAACCACCAGGGACTCCATGGGAGAAAGATGAGGCTTTCTACTACTGTAAAGATTTAGTCTCGAAAACCCATGGGGGCAGTTTTGCTCCGTGCTAGAAGGTCGCTGTGAGTTGGAATTGACTCAACGGCAGTGAAAGTTTTGCTTTTGTTTTTCAGTATGGTCGATCCTACCCTTGACTAACGAGCTGCTGACTAACTCGCTATTACCTTGGGCAAGTCACTTCGCTTCTGTGGGCTTCCATGGCCTCATGTGTCAAATATGAGCGGCACACACCTGCTGATGCAGTGAGACTACATGCGCCCAGTACCTGCTCAGTAAGCATCATGCAGGGAGGGCAGGAACAACAACTACCTTAATGAAGGGCTCACTGAGTACCACGAACTGTTCTACATTCCGCACAGGGATTCATTCTCGCACTTTAACTCTGAAGGCAGATAATGTGACCAGCCCATTTTACAGATGAGATGCA